TTTTGGAACGTGTTGCAGGCATCAAATTCAAAATGAGTGAATATTTGCAAAAAACAATAAAGTTTATCAGTTTGAACTTTAAATATCTTGTCTTTGTGGTGTATTAAATTAAATATGGGTCAAAAATGATTTGCAAGTCATTGTATTCTGTTTTTATTCACATTTTACAAAATGTCCCAACATCATTGGAATTGGAGTTTGTATACTATTGATTTGCAGTGGCTGATAAGCTTTAGATGAAACAAAGCTTACAGTCTTTAGCCACACTAACACCATAGCTCTAGGCAGGGCTGCTGGGTGAGGGGCCAATGTGTCAGTTGTCCTGGCCCCTGGGTTAAGGTGGGCCCAACATGGCCCTCTAACCTTTAAATAGTCTTCTGGAGTAATTTATCAAAATACCTATTTGTGGAAACCTCATATAGTATGTGTGAATTACGGAAAACCTCGTTATTATTATCTTCCTAATTGGCCTTGACTTAGTTGATCAAAACAACTGTATTTACCCCCATAATGCAAAACAATGGTTTGGTCTGTCATGCTGCTGTAACGGGGGCATTCACAAATGCAGTAAACTTGACTTTTCATCAAGTTCCACGAGCAGGTTGACATTTTTGATTGACAGTAAAGTGGTTTGTCAGGTATGGGGCGACTGTGGTTCAGTGGGTAATGTGGTCGTCTCCCAACCACAGGGTTGGAGGTTTGTATCAGGTTGGCTGCAGTCCACGTGTCGAAGAGTCCTTGGGTAAGACACTGAACCCCCAAGTTGCTCCCGATGGTTAGAGCCATTGGTTGAGTTGGCACCACACATGGCTGCCTCGGCTCTGTACCAGAAACAAATTCCTTGTGTGTAACATACCTGGCCAAATAAAGGTGATTATCCATTATCATTATTATTATCCAATGTGTAAGTGCATGAAAGGTGAACTGTAAAGTTCTCTGGATAAAAATGCCATATACTGGTAAAGGAATCAGTTTATTTACAACGCTACCTTAATTATGAGATTGAAAATTAACTGTAAATAATAGCTAAATATTTATTGATCTTAGATAAACATGCATCTTACAACTATGAAAGCATGAGCATCACCGGTGTGTTTCTGAACATGATGACACTAGAGAGAAAGCAGAGAGTGACAGGATAGTGACATGAAACAGGACCATGTGGGTATGAAATGCTGCTTCTTCTTGTTCTTGTTCCTTTAACTTCCTCTGGCAGTGATGACCTCATATCTCAAAGGGCTTTGCCCTCTGGTCAGGGAGTACCCTCCACCCAGCCTGTGTCCTCAGCTGGACCTTCATCCCAAGTTCCTCCCCTCCGTCTGCCCATCCAGATCATGCTGGTGCCGCTCAGCAGGCGGTTCAGATACCACTTCTTTGGGAATCGACAAACTAACTCCCTCAGCAAGGTCTCATGCAGAATACACATCACATGCACATGTGCAAACATTTGTAAATGTCAGACATGCACTCTGAAGTTTACACTTCTGAACCTCAAACACATTCTCTGTCTGTGCAGCCTGAGTGGTACCTCACACAGGTTCTGATGTGGATGGGGAACAATGCGACCTTCATGGAGGAAAAGATCCAACCTATCCTGGACCGAGCTGGAGCTGCCATCAGTGCCAGGGTATGTTGTTCTGCTGTGATCCTCTCTGGTTAAGTGTCCAATTAGGCATTTTTTTCCCCAGTCTGATTTTGATTTCAGACCAGAGTTTTCTCCAGCTGTTTCAATGCGTAATACCTGGAAACTGCTTTTATTTGACTTTCCCCTGCATCCCAGGAACACTACCACAGCTTGGCACACTAATTACTACATGTGTACGTGTGTAGGTGGAGCTGTGTCGAGGCCTGTTATCTCTGGTCCAGGAGAAGGTGGCTAGTGATGCTTCTAAACTTCTGTATGACGATGCCCTCTTCTGTCACTTGGTGGAGGAGGTGCTGCAGTTTGAGAAGGAGCTGCGAAGCAACCACTCATACCCAGCAGCTCTTCCTGGCCTCCTCCACCTGCTGCTCGAGGATGCAGTCCTTCAGAAGTGGCTTACTGTGGAAAAGAAGGGTAAGTTGTCAAGTGTGTCACACAGACACATTTATTGTTTTTCAGGCTCACATTCCTTTTTAAATCAACTAATGGATATTACATTGAAGTGTCAAGTATCAAGTTTAACTTGGCTAGGTTTACATCAATATAGAAAGAACTGTTTGGGAAATACAGCACTTTTAAACACACAGTGCTCAAATGGCAAAGGCTCAGAGTAATTGGCCACTTGACTATTAAATGCTTCTTGGGCAGCATTCACATGGCTCAGAGTTGAGTAAGGGTTAAGAGCTGCCATTTAGATTAAGGTTGAAAGTATAGAGGGTACCATGCAAGTGAAGAAGAAAATGAGGACTAAAAACGCAAAAATCCTTCATGGCGATATCAAAGGTAGCTGGTTTACTAAATTAAGGAACACAAGAAAACTAGAAAATAGAAGAGAACCTGAGGGACTTCAGGAGAAAAGTTTTATGGAATGGTGAACTGAAACTCAACCTTTATCACAGTAATGGAAAAAGAAAATGTGGAGAAAAAACAACAACAACAACAACAACAACAACAACAACAACAACAACAACAACAACAACAACAACAACACAAAGCATACCGTGTCATGTGTCCAACATGGTGGATATATATACATACATGCATGTATGGCTGATGGAGGTGGACATGCAGTCTGCATGGACTTGGTAAGTTTGCTAAGAACAGTGAAAGAGCACTATAACCCTATATACCCTGCATATACAGTGGCGGTGGAGAAGATGGATGCCATGCTGTCGGCTGAGGGAGCTTGGAGCTCTCAGTACAAAGATATCAGTGATGTAGATGAGCTGAAGGCGCCAGATTGTGCTGAGACTTTTATGACACTACTTCAGGTCATCACTGGTAAGACTACTCATTTTAACTCTTACAATCATTTCTAAGTCACTGTCAGTATAGTTCATTTGGAAGAATGTTAAATATTTGGTATAAATGTAATGCGGCTAGTTTTTCTCTCATTTTCATCTTTTCATTTTAAAATAAAGGAAAAAAGTAAAAGAAAGAGCAACACTGGGGTGAACTATACAGAGCCCTATGGGAATATTTTTAAACAATTTTTGCATTTGTGGTAAAAAGTCTTGTATTTTTTCATCATCTTACGGCACTCAGAGCGGTACCGGGCCTTGCCCTGTCCTTCTGCACAGCTGAAGTTTCTGGCGCTACAGAAAGAACTGGTGGATGACTTCCGCATACGACTCACCCAGGTAATAATGAAAAAGATTACGCTGATATTCAGAGGAGGAAGGTAACTAAGCACATTTACTCAGGTACTGTACTTAAGTACAATTTTGAGGTATCTGTACTTGAGTATCTTCATTTTCTGTTTCTTCATACTTTGACTTTGCTACATTTTACTGAAAAATATTGTAGTTTTTACTCAATACATTTATTTGATAACTTTAGTTACTAGTTACTTTTCAGGCTGAAATTAAGTAAACAAAATACATTATAATCATAAGATGTTATTGATCCCTGGTGTGAAATTCACAAGCTACCCAGCAGCGTGTAAAGTACTTCAGAGTGTGAGCATATTAACTCTACCTTTACCAGCTGTAACATTAATTGTGTTGTACACAATAATGCACTAATGATTAATTAGTCTAATAATATGATATACATGATATGATATAATGAGAGCTGTGTAATTCTGCAACATGAGTACTTTTACTTTTAATATTTACTTTATATTTAATGTTAATTCTTTTGTACTTTACCTTAAGTAACAATTTGAATGCAGGACCTTTACTTCTAACAGTATTTTTGTACAGTGGTGTTGCTACTTTTACTTAAGTAAACAGCAATTCTTTCACCACTGCTGGTATTAATAAAAAACCACCCAACCAATGAGGGAGGGGTGATGGGCTTTTCTGGAGCACTGTTAAAGCAGGAGGGAGGCACTTGGCTGATGATTAAGGTTATAATAGGCTTGTGCTTTTCCTGAAATCCCTACCACCACAGATTTAATGAGTTCACTGTTTAAGGTTTGACTGGCACTCTTTATAAGTGCTTCATCCTAAAGCACCCTCTTCTTCTACAGTAGTTTAACAGCAGCACCAGCAGTTTAACCATTTTCTAATATTCAGATAACACTAGTGTGTGGAAATATTCAGTGATTCACCAGTTTTACCAATTTTCTCAGTTAAAATATGCAGCATTTGGAGGGAAAACCGCCTAATGAGAAACATTTATTTAAAGAATTAATCAACACCATGATGAAAAGGATTGTCTCACTGCCCTGACTGGTTGACAGTTTCAAGGCTGTTTTTGCCATAAATGTGATAGAGATAATGTGAATATTTGTGTGCTGTTTGTTCAGCGGGATTTGTCTAATTGTTTGAGTATTTACAGGCAGAAATCCAATTTTTTTTCCTGTCCAGGTAATGAAAGAGGAGTCTCGCTGCCCCCTGAGTGCCCGTTACTGTGCCATTCTCAATGCTGTCAACTACATTTCCACCATCCTGACAGACTGGGGAGACAATGTGGTGTGTGGAGTTTATTAAATGTGTTTATCCTATTGCGTTACTCACACACAACTACCCAGCTCCTTGTTTTCATATAAATTTCACTGGGAAAATCTCAATAGCACAGTACAGAAACTCAGACATACAAACATTTTGCAGACAAAGGTAATTGGTGATGGTGAGTTACAAAATTAGAGTTAGATTTTATTATGTTCCCTCATTTTACACACTTTCATTTCACTTTATACAACTATGAATTCATTATACAGTAAATAGGTTTTTCTACAAGTTTGCATTTTGTTAAAGGCCAAACTCCTCAAATGTTACACATTCTCTGAAGGCAAACAACATGCTAAGATAAAATGATGTCTGAAATTGGTAGAATTTTGATTCATTTGATCCAGAAATTAACTAATTAAACAATAAATGAAGAATAGTGGGAACTGAGAGAAGAGTTGAAGCCAGCCTTAGGTACATGACAGATATGAAACCTGGATGGATTTGGTTCTGTATGGGAAAAGAGCCATTTTGCACTCTGTACCTTCACTAAATATAGCCCTATAGACAGAAGAGGGGCATTTATGGTTTTGGCTTCACTGACAGTTATGTGTTTACCAGTTGCTTTTATTCTTTGCTCAGTTTTTCCTACAGCTGCAGCAGGCAGCGGTTTCACTTGGGGACGAAACGTTGCAGGGCCTCGGGGTGATGGAGGTGGGTCGCCTGGCTTCTCTGGAGGGCTCTCTGTTTGAAGGTCTGTTGGCGTTGCTGGATCGACTGAAGGGAGACATGATGGGGAGACTGCTGGATTGGACCATGAGAGAAATCACAGGAAAAGCTAAACCATACTGCCACGACAGGTGAGGGCCAGTAATGAGTACTGTGTAAAGCTACAGTGGGTATTGTTAGGACAGTGTAGCTTAAATATGGATTGTGTGCCTGTGCTCAGCTTTTATCTCTGGTGTTGTTTTGGAAGATAATGTTTTTCTTCTCATCCCATAGTGGCCAGGGGCAGCCAAAGAATAAGCCCTATAAGCCACTGATTTATTTTCTTTTTTCTTTTACTATCTTATCTTTAGGTGGTTGTCAGTACCATCCCAGTATGACCAGACCATCATGTCGCTGTCCAGTTCAGCTTGTCCCATGATGCAATGTGTGAGCGACAGATTGTTAAACCTTCATCAGGTCCTGAGTTTTTCTCTGTTCCAACTGGCCTGGCAGGGCCTGGCGGAGAGACTTGACAACTTCCTCTACCAAGAAGTAAGACATCAATACACCAAAACTGGTTTTCTGATTGTTTTAGAAGCAAACTGCAAAGTAGACGTGATTCAGCCCAGCTGTTTGAGGACAGTTTAGATGATCCAAATGTTCTACAGAGGCAAACATACAGTATACAGTGCCTGCATAGCCTGTAGCATATGGACCAGTGTCTGCAGTTTCACCTCAGTTTAGCTGCAGTTTAATTTAGTCTGCAGCTCAGACATCTCATCTCAGTCCAACTGGACTGGCAGCCAATTGTCTTGTTGAAACAGACATTTGTGTTTAGTATAGTGAGGGGCAATAAAAACAAACATTTGGGATAATGACAGGAATCTGCAGATGCATGTGAGAAGGAGTCCAGAAAGTTATTTGATTATTGTATTTACAGTAAATTGACTTAACGGCACAGTGGGGGAATGGACTGGTGGCTAAGCCCCCTCCTTCTTAGTTACTATTGCTACACCTGTAAAGCATTGCATTTTAGTTACTGTTGCTACACCTGTAAAGCATTGCATTTTAGCACTGCACGTATGAAATGTACGATGGTGATGATGATGATGATGATACTGGCATATTTCATATTTAAAATCATAGTTTGTTCAGAATAGTGGCCCCTTTGTTTACTGCATTTCTCTATTCCAGGAGACAGGAGGAATCTAGCTATAAATCTGGCAATTAAATTTAATCTTGTTAGGGAATTCTTTCATCAAGCTCTATCTACATCAGTTTCTTAATGGTAGTGTATTTCTGTACATTTTGCCTTAAAAGTATTGCAGTAAATTCTAGTTATTCTGTCTTGAAACTGCTGTTCAATAATGTTCACTGCCTGTTTTGCCTGCTTCTTGCCATTTCTGGCATCTTTGTTGTCTTTTTCTGATCATTTACTGTATGGTCATAAATTATACCCAAGAATACTTTGTAAGACTAGAATGCCAGTGGTATTTACAAGTGCTCTTCCTGTCTCCACCACTTAAGCAAGTCTACACATAAATCAGGAAAATACATAATCGAGGTAACTAAAAACCCCACCTGCATAACTGGTCCACTACTTGTACTGTTGTAGTTTTTGCTAATAAACACTTTGATTGATGTGGTTTCCTATGAACTGCAGTCAAATTTGGCTCATTATGTCCATCTCTCTCTCTCTCTTGCTCTGTCAGGTGATCCTGTCTAATCATTTCAGTGATGGTGGGGCGGCCCAGCTTCAATTTGACATGACTAGAAACCTATTTCCTTTGTTTGGTCACTACTGCAAAAGACCTGAGAACTTCTTTAAGCAGTAAGTGTGTGGACATGTGTGTGTCTCATCATAAGGCTCAACGTGTGGTCAGGTTATTTTTTCAGAGGTGCTTCCGCTGTGTGCATTCATGTGCGCAGGCTCATAATCCTTGGCGCACCCAAATGCTGAGGACAAAGATGACATTGTTTTGCTCTTATTTTATCATATTACTAGGCCTAAAGTCTACAGATTGGCCAATACTGTGTATGAAATAACAATAGCATATATAAAGTATATTAAAATTTGAGCAGTAGGTGTTGAGTAGAATAAGAATTAGGGTAGGAGTTAAGCAATGCAGTCATGACTACATTGTTATACTGTATTTAGCAAGTGTTTATTTTATATCAGTTGCTGCTGAAAATGCACTGTTTTCTGTATTCCCACAGCACTTGTGTTTGCTCTGACCAAATTTGGTTCTTCAAAAAGACTCATCACTGTAAAAATAGATTGTATTGTGTTGCATCAAGAAAGCTGTCTTTTGTCTGGCTATGCAGTCCACAACATGCACATGTGTACTAGTTTATGCTACTTTATTGACAGATGGGACAAAAATCCAATGTAACAAAAAAAAAACCACTCACAAAATACCTAGTCACTGAAAACATGGTGTGGAGAGTATAAGACAGACAAGTGAAGGTTAAAATCCCAGGTGAGAAGATGAACTCTGGTTCTACCAGCATTATGATTAGATTTGTCTCAATCTGTTCTCTCTGTCTCTCCACAGGGTTAAGGAAGCTTATATTATCTTGTGTCTGAATGTGGGCTCTGCTATTCTGCTAAGGAATCTCCTTAAAGAGTCAGAGGAGGAGTCGAGAAACTATGGGGGTATGGGTGATCCTCTACCAGAGTCTGCACTGAACGAGCTGGGGGTGTACTGCTTGGCTCCTTGTGATGTCCTGATTCTCCTTAACCTCAGAGCCTCTTTGCCTGTACACTGACATGTCCAGCTGACTGTATTTGTATGTGTCAGTGTGGAAGAACAGATTGAGTGCTCACCAGTTCTAGGTTATATTTTTGGGGACCTATTTATGTACCTAGGACCTCAGTTGACCTAAGTATACCACAAAGTATAAATGACAACTACCCCTATTCTGGTATATTATGTAATAAGCCTAGCTGATCTGCAATACTTTCATATTCAGCTTCCCCCTAATACTTGTTATTTTTATTTTTCTGCCAAGCATGTAGTGTACATATACACCATAAAATACTTATTTTATTAAATTGTATCTGGCACATTGAAATAACAGGTGTAGCCTGATGCATTAAACACACCTTTATTATTATTATTTCACATTATTTGAGCCAGTTAATGAAGATGCAAACCCTTGCATTACTAAAGTTAAATTATTGATAGATATTTTAAGAGTCTGACTGTCCTGTCTGACAAACTGTTTTCTGTTTATATTAGTTGTTATTCTCCATTCACATTGTTTTCATATTGACAAGCTGATAAACCGGAATAAAAATGAAAAAACATTTGGCACTGATTGTTTTGTAGCAGCCCCTCATTAACTAATTAAATGACATTTTCACTACATAGCTCAGTAAAGAAGCCCCTTCCCCAAACCCTTGCATTACTAAAGTTAAATTATTGATAGATATTTTAAGAGTCTGACTGTCCTGTCTGACAAACTGTTTTCTGTTTATATTAGTTGTTATTCACCATTCACATTGTTTTCGTATTGACAAGCTGATAAACCGGAATAAAAATGAAAAAACATTTGGCACTGATTGTTTTGTAGCAGCCCCTCATTAACTAATTAAATGACATTTTCACTACATAGCTCAGTGAAGAAGCCCCTTACAAATATACGTGAAGCTTTAAATATATTGTATTCTAATATTACGTTGCGGTATCAGACGTCATTGCTGTGGCCCCGCCCAGGTAGCGCAATATCCTTACATGGAGTTTCTTTGTTCTGCTGTCATTGGTCGAAACTCGGATTTCCGGCAATTTCAAAAGTGGTTCCACGCTTTTGCAGCTGTGTGATTTATTTTAAACCCTTTATATAACATAATTAGGCTTATGTTTTTGCCATTTTAAATGGGTGACACAAGTGAAGTCCAAACTCCCATTTGGACTTTAGAGAACCAGAGAAGACAGCCATGCGCTAGGGATTGGAAAAGGACGTTGTCAGCCAAGGAAGAGCAGCCTCTACCCGAGAACCACGGCAGGGTCCTGCGGTGAGTTCGGCTTTTCAGGTCAGACCTTTAAACGTACTCAATGAACTGCTGTGTGAATATTAACAACACAAGGAGAACTGTGGGTGCCAAACTATTATAGCACTATGTGAAACTGTAGCTGTCAGTGGCGTAGCGTTCATTTCTTTAAACCAGTGGTATTATTACATATAAATAAAGCGTGTTCGGGTATTTTCGTTGCGTCTCAGTGTCACCAGATGTCAGCAAAGGCCGCGGTGTTTCCTCCGCAGCTACAGAAAGGTGATCTGCCATTTGTAACCTTTAATAGATTTCCAGTTAATCTACTTTAATTTCTATGTTTCAGCTATTTGAATAATATACATATATATATTTGCAAGTCAAAAATGTACAGAGCTACGGTTATTTAGCTCAGAAATGCAGAAAGCTTATATTTATTTATTTTGCAGCTCTCCAGTTTTGAGGGGTTCAGTTTTTTTTTTTCTCAAAGCAACTTTGGCTGTGTGTTCTTTTACTCTGCACTGACTGGTTTCCTAACTACATCAAATATGTTTGTTTTTTTAACTTATTTAATACAAGTTTATGTGCATAACCACTCTGGTCACAAGCCACAGATAGGTTGTTGAGAAAGACCAAGTTACTTTTGTGAGGTGCTTGCTTATAACAATGCTCACACACATACCCATATGTGCACTAGATGCATGTATTAACCCTCATGCCAGTCTGAATGAAAACCCTGCTTGACAAGCAGGAGCAGATTTAGAAAATTACAGACAGGTTGTCCTGGCTGGGGCACAGACTCAGAGAGAGGCAGCGATTGGAAATGCATGTAAAACGTAATTTAAACCCCTAGCTCTATGATGTAATAAACCATACATTATTAAGGATCAAGTTGTTTATTTTGTTGTTTGTTTGTGTGTTTTATTTATTTTATATTTTCTTTAGCTATCTTTGTCTGCACTCCAATAAGGTGAATCATGCCAAGTTCTTCACACCAATGTAATTTGAGAAATTATTGCAAATATTATGCTGCATGCTGATTTAAAATAAAACTAATTTGACTAATATAAATTATAAAGCATCAGAAGAATAAGTTGTTCTTAAGGCAAGAAAATGTCATTATTTTTATTTATTTTTTTATTCAATAATACTGACGAGCATCACATTTTGACTCTGGCAGTGGTGGCTAGACCGAATCTGGCGGTAGGCCAGTGCACGACCTGGCTACCCTGATGTTGACAAAGCACAATGTGAAGATTGGAAGATAACTGTTTGATGTGACGATCTGAAATGGCTCAAGTCTCATATAGTTTCACTTGGCATTTTTTGCACAGATCTGTAAGTTTAGTCCCCTGCCTCTAGGGAGGAATCACTTCACAGCCAGTGTTGAGAGGAAGAATGATTGATTAAAGCAACCAAGAAAAACATATGGGTGTGTTAGTTTTGCTTTGGTAAAAATGTGAGCATATCCTTTAAGAAACCCCCTGCCAACAATGCCAATTTAATCATCCGTTGAACAATTAGCCTAATATTTCCCTGATACAATATTGTATCTCTGTTTATAGAGTGAACTGTGAAAATCCCAAGGCAGTACGCATAATAGTAAACCTGGTGTCCAGGGCAGTGTTATCCCAGTCAATCTCTATATTTATCTTTTGAGTGAAATTTTCAGTTTATTGGCCCCTCGTGTGACCAGGAGTTAGAGTGCCCCAGTGCCCCAAAGCCATTTAAATCAATACAATGAAAAATTTCTGGTATTTTCTCAGACTAGTGACTAACATAACAGTAATATGTTTTGGGAAAATAAACCCATGGGAGCATTTACACTGGGCTCTTTTGAAAGGCTTTCCATGTGGGCTGCCAAAGTGTCCCAGCCCTGCCCAGTGCCCAACTGGCTCTGCAGACAAACATGGAAAAACATCACCCAGTATTTGACCTCCATAACAAGGTTTATGGAAAGAAACAAAATAAGGCCTGGTTTCCCGAAAATTTCTGAGATTGACGTTAAAATACTAGCCTGGCAGTGGAGTGGTCTTGTCTGTAAAACATGTAGAATGCAACCACCAGACATCAACAAGGTTGGTTCAGTGCTTGTGACCTCAGAATTCATTGTTCATGTAAAGTAGCACCGTTGAAATAGCATTTTGAATGTGCCTCATAAAAATGCTTTTCAATAAACTTTAAGTAACACTTCATATAACAGAAGTATGCAAATGCACTTTTTAAGAAGAGCTTACTGAGTCGTGCATTGCCTGCCAGTATCATGAATCTGCTGCATGTGATCATTCTTCTGTGTGTCTATTAATAAAAAAAAAAACAGACAAGGATGTGAGTGCAGGTAGGGTCAGTGTTGGGATAGTTCAGTTTCAGAGTTAGCCAGCTTTAACAAACAAGGGTAGGGCTAACTGGGATGCTATTCTACTGACTCACAGGCTGCACACGTTTGAGCAGGTGTGGGGGAGAAACAGCCTTTGTACCCTGGTTGGTGGCTGTGACGAATGTGCGATGATATCAGTCACGTATTCATGAAGGACTTACACAAACAGGAGCTATCAGCTTTTGAAATGGCTCATTTTATGGGAAACATGACATTGGAAATGCCTGCATTTGTGACCTGATTATTTGCTGAGATGTCTTCAGTAGTAATAACTGTTTTGTACATTGCACATAAAATAAGTAATAAAAACTACATATTCATTAACCATTGATAACAGCATGGGCTTCTCTCAAAGATGCTTTGAAAGAATTTTTTAGTAACTGTTGAGTTGCATACATTGGCTCTATATCTCACTCACTGGTCACTGGCCTTGTCACAGCAGACATTTGTGGCTTGTGGAAGGAGAAGCACATTATTGTTCTGTTCAAGTGGGCCAGTCAGCCATAACAGCTAAGCCAAGCGAGCCTTAGTCAATTTATTTGTTTATTTATATAGCCCAAAATTAGAATTCATAAGTTTACCTCAAAAAGATTCACACTATATGCAGCATACAACCTTCTTGATGCTTAAAGTCCACATAGCATGCTTGTTTTGCTCATTTCTAGCCATTTAATGTTTAATCTTGGGTACCTATAGATTGTCTTGCCACCCCTCATAACTCCAAATAGTCGACATTTTTTCAGAATAATAAAACCAAAAAGCCTCTTCCTAGAAACGAGAGGATAGTTTGTGAGTGCGCACAACTCCTGTTGCCAGTGTTGTAGACAGCATAACGAACCGCAACGGCATTAATTCATGTGAATTTCTCCTCCATAGATAGGTAAACAATGGTATATGTACCGATGAAAAGAGATTTGTAACACTCTAAACAAAGCGGGTAGTTGAGAAACCCCACGTTTTAACTGGCATAATGCAGACATAGTAACTTTTCCAGCCTTACAATAATTCTCTCAAATGTTACAGAAACAAGGTATTAACGAACATGCAACTTTTTTACTTACCGGGTAGTGGAAACCTCACTCCCTTTCAAGTAGCTCCAAGGTCTAAATCCAACCAGTGGTCGCTTGCATCTTCCCCCACATGACCACATACAGTCCCAAAGTAGTGAAACTAATTTCAACAGGTAGCATCACACTGACAATATCATCATGGACCATTAATCTGCTTGTTAACTAGCAACACATCACATGTGGCAGACACACTGGTCTCAAGCAGTCAAAACAAACAGGTACTGTGCTCTGGGGGAATCCGGTGCTGATGAGCTGATCACTAACCACAGTGGTGGCTTCACAGGCCGACTGATCATAGGTTAGACCTGGTCAGGTAAAACAGCGGGGTCCCTGTACAGGAACATTCCCAGACATGCAGTAACCTCAGGCCCTGTATTTTTCTACATATCGTCTGGTCACAGTGCAGGCAGCAGGAAGTAAAATATATCTACAAAACTGCATGCAATCTTAAAATTCTGCTTTTACAATGCATCAGTGAATTCTTTCTTTTTAAAGCTTTATTGAAAACATACAGTACATAACAAACAAGCAGTATAACATTTTGCCACCAGGTCCCCATGGAAGTCAGTCAAGCTCAGATGAATGCACAACGGCCTGGATTTTAATGCCCATTCAAGGAAACCTTTAAATTGCCACGTAATACTTTATTACGGTAGAAAAAAAGTTTCACGAGTGAGAGTTTGCGAGAGATATAGACATCCGAGTTGCTTCTGCATAGAAATACTAGAACATATGTTCACCTCATTTTTTTTAGCTTTAGGTCACGTCTAAGATGATAATTCACAGTTTTAACATTGTAGATAAGTCAGAAAACAAGGAAAAGCATATAATGGGCTCTTTAAAAGCTCAACTGGAATGAGGGGACAAAAAAGTAATTAACCTCAGGAAGAACAACAAAGGAGGATCCCTTTTGCAGGACAGGACTCCCATGCAATAGATGTCTTACTGGAAATGGAAAAAAGCAAGCACCCTTACTGAAACACTGAAAGAATACCAAACTGTGGATGTAGACAATTTGGCTGTAGGATTTAACCTGCCTTCGCAACTAGGCCAGTGTTAGACTTTTAGTCCATACTCACATGTAAAAAAAAAAAAGTTTAAGTATGAGAATCAGATACAAAGAATATCAGATAGTTGTAACATCTAATTTGTATTACAGCTCATGGATCTATTATGGAATTCCTGGGTCATATAGCCTACCTGGAGCAAGATGCCCACACTAACACAGCCTGTCTTTTCTTTTTTTTTTCTGGAACACCTGTCTTTCTGATCAGTTAACACTGATACTCAAAGAAAAACAGCAGCCATTCTGCAACTACTTTGTGTCCAGTATGTATCTTGAAAAAGGAGCCACCAGCAGTTAGTGTTTATGGGGCAGATTAATTAGTAAAACTGGTGATGTTTTGATGATGAGCTCACTTCCTCAAACCACTTTTGTTACAAATATCCTTGTCTGCTATGGCTCTACTTGCTCTAGAGCAGTTGTTTAGATTAAAAGGTGAGATATTAGGTCAATGAGCGGAAGAGAGATCATGTTTAATTGCTTCACAGCCTCCAGTGAGATTCTGAGAAGCTGGCTAATGCCATGGCTGGCTGACTGATGATGTAACCATAATCACAGTGAGTGCAGCTCAGCCTAGCTCTTGGATAATGCTTGTCACTGTAGTGTCTGCTGCTCTGGAAGCTCTGTACATTCCAAAAAATGAATCAGTGTGATAGAGGAGAGACAAAAGAAGAAAAGCAACAAGACACAAGGATAGATAGATGGACATATGTCTAATTCATGCTGCCATTATTGGATTACTAGTGTGTCTACAATAGAAGATAAAATCCTTGTCCTGTAGTTACAGGGGAAGGTGAGCACCCCTGATGATTTAGTCTCAGCTGAAGTAGTAGCTTTCCTTTGTAACACCTATGGTAAAGACACAGGAATTGTCATTAGTCTCTTATGTATGTATAGGCTGTAACTAATGCTTTTTCCATTACTGATTAATCAATCAGTTATTTTTTCTGGGCAATTATTTAGTATAGTGGTAAATCATGAAAACATGCACAGTTGAGTACCACTTCCCATCATATTCACTTTGCTTGGCCAACACAAAATCATATGACAAAGAAAGCAGCAATACATCGTGTCAGACACAGATTTCAGAAGATGAATTGTTTACATGAATACCTTCATTATTGGTTTGACTATAGATTATTTCAAAACTTTAAATATTCAATTTCAGCATATGTCTATTTTTTCTGATCAAAAGCTAAAAAAATTACAATATTAAATTAAAACAAGCAAATTCTCAACTAACATGACATGTAATGAATGTGCTTGCTTAGAATTTAGTTTAATATTATGATTTACTGCTACTAGTAGTGAGCTACTAAATGTTTCACCTCTTGCATATAAAACACGGAAACTAGTATCACTTAATTCCATCATGAGGCAAATTCCCAGTTTAACCATGTTGTCTTCAAGAGAAATTCAGTTCAGTTTTATTTGTATAGCGTCACTTGGCATCAACAGCCATCTCGGGTCCCACAAGGTCTAGAGCTTACAGTAGTGTAGAGAATTGCAGCAAGTCCCTTTGAGCAAGCACTAGCGACTGCAGAGTGGGAAAACTCCCTATACGGAAGAAACCTCTGATAAACCCCAGCCCTCGGTGCATAGCCTTCTGCCTCCGCAGTATTTTTTTTTTCCCTGTTATCTCCTGTTAGCTCATCAAAATTGCAAATGACCTCTATTTAGGAGCATTAAAACCACAGGGCTGCGACAGCATTTATGCATACGTCAGTACATTTACATTATAGTACTGCAATGACGGTTATTTTTATGAGGGATTTAATCTGCATATTATTTTTGTTTTTTTTATAAAATGACAAAGTTAAAACTGGCTTCATCTTTTTTTCATTTTTACTTGAGTAATGATGACAGTTATCTGAGGAGTTGCTGATTGATTATTTAACTCAACATTTCAGTTCTAGTCCCTTACATCATAAGGCATACATCACCTCAGTTAACTTAAAATGCAAATGTGTATATGAAGAACGGCAACATTTTTCTATATAAGAACCTGAACCCATTTGAGATTTTTGCTTAAAAAGTAAGATAAATATTTAATTGATTATAAAAATAGTTGAAGATTTTCGAACTGTCAACTGATCGCTGCAGCCCTAAAGCTGCTTATGTGGGGTGTATCTGCCATCCTTTAACAATGTCATTGTTAGAGGACACTGTTGGCCGCCAAAGGACAGGAACTCTAGCGACTCAGTCATTAGAGGACATTGTTAGCCGTCGAAGGACTGAAACACCAGCTAGTGGGATAAATACCTCCTGCTCACCACCAATCAGGCACTGATGAAGCCTCTTGAATGAGAAGTGAAATGTCTTCTACCTAAAACTACATCCAGATGCCTTCTTCTACGTTTTTTCAGCATACTATGACCTGGATGACTGCGAAATTGCACGGACATCCTTTAACAATCAAACATTACATTGCCTCTTTTACATTTGTTGACCTTTGAGGACACTGGATCAGGATAAACTGCTCTGTCCACATTAATTCAGCACTTGACATTTAAGTCTGAACAGCACCTGCAGTGAGCTTTCCCCAGAACACCCAAGGAGCTTCGCATTTTCCTTCTTTCTTTAGCTATTGTTGTTATTCCACAGCACATGCTGTTTATCCAGAGTACCTTCCAGTAGCATCAGTCCATACATTTCCAACATGGGTGGTCCCAAAATGAACTGCCCACAAGCCGCTGCCTGCTCTCATTTTCAGAACAACTGTATACACATTCGATTTCCGTCATGGTCGGTTGCCACACAAACTGCTGTTAATGTCGCTGAACCATAAAATACAGTATTTCCCTTGTTATGCAGGAGCTACAGAACAAAAGGGTTTCATTAATTCATGCTAGATTTTTTTTTTTCCCAATTAAAAGTGCTGATGCAAACTAGTTATGACTAAAGTGGTCAATAAATGAAGCGCTAAGGTCTCAACAGTGATGATTTGCTGTTCTTCTTTGTCTCACAGGAATATAAACTGTGTAATTTGGGTTTTGGACTGTAAGACAAAAGAAACAATGTTAAGATGTTACATTGGCTCAGTTAACCAAAATATGAATCAGTTCATCAAGTTTAATCACTATGGTTTTTCGGTAGGTGTGTGAGAACAATGCAACTGACATATTTAAATCGGAGCAGAACAATGTTTCAGAATAGAGGGTTATATTTGTAAGGATACTGCCAGATACAGGTTTAATGTATGTAAATATTTTAAACATTACACTAATTTACTATAACATATTAGATCAGAGAACATTTTTCATACAGGTAAAACAAAAATCTTTGCAACCAGTCAGTTTTTAATTATCCTCACTCAAATGGTAACCCCGAAAAGCTGATAGTGTATATGATGTATTGTATGCCCCAACTGAAATGGCACAGCCACAAATTATTATCAAAAATCCTCACTGTTGTATTAATTTCAATATAAAGGTACTGAAGGTGCTGTAAAAAGGTCAATTTTGTTGACATGAAATGACTAAATTACAGCAAATGATTGTGTAGCCCACCACTGAGCCATGACAGTGCTGCGTCTGCCTGCAGCACTGACTGTAGTAGGACAGTTGCTGTGTCACTGGATCAGTGCCATCTGAAGCAACAGTAGCACAATGACAGTATGACTGGAATGACCTGGCCTTACGAGCAACACACAGAACAAGTGTTTCTCAGCAGCATTCTTTGAATGCTGATTGCTTTGTATATCCCACCATCTAAGGACCTCAAAGACATAAGTCTTCAATATAATCAACTGTTCTGACACTATTTATGCTCATGTGGAAGTCACAGACTGGGTTATGGCAGCTGAGCAGTGTAGGTGGTTTTGTCATGCCTTCTGAATGTGATTGTGGTGTGATAGTGCGTTTAAACGTACTCCACAGTGTCTTAACATTTCATCTTTTGTTTGCATATGAATTCAGCTGTGGTATCTGTATTTGTTAGAGACTGAAATTTTCCTCATATTTTTAAAACTAGTGGCATTAAAATTCTCCTGCTACTGGTATTTTGTAAAGGTCAAAGCATTATGTCATTATCAACCAAAGCTCAGCCAATAAATGCTACTATAAGTAACAGAATACATCCCCTGTGTTTGCAGTTTATATCAATGCACTACATACGTTTTGTAATTCATTTACTTAACTAGCACCATTACTTAGCCTTATACAGCAGCCTGAGCCTCCCTTCTCATTTAAAGAGTTTCAACTATGTGAAAGAGTGCATTAATAAAAAAAATCCATTTATTGTTGGTACAACACAGATCATAAGTGCTGTTTTGATGTGTTTCTTCTTGTTGTGTAACCTCCAATTCACTGAGCGCAGTGTGTTCTGTATTTGTCCTCAGCGTGGCCTCATCCGACTGAACCGTATACTTCAGTAATCACATAGGTTGAAGACAGGTTAACATGAGAAGGATTTCCAGTATGCATGGCTGGTTTGGGGTCAGTGTTTAGTCCAGACAGTTCCAAAAAGGCAAACCAGCCCCACTTCAGAATGTCCCAATAAAAAGGGACATTTAAGCACTGTCCAAATCTTTGGGAGGGAGGAAGGTGTGGGATAAAGGAGTCCCTCCCTTCAAACATCACAGAGGCCTTAGGTCTATGGACAGCTTAGTGGCTGACGAGGCTTTTTGGGGAAGTAGACTGGGCTCCTGCTTCACTTTTCTCCAACTCCACCATGCCGAGGCTGTGGTAGGTAGCAGGAGATAGGTGTTTTCTTAGGACACCACAATTCTCTTAGTCACTCAGTCTTCTTATCACCCTGTGACTGTTCTGAACTCCCTAAGCTACCGGTTAAGTCACTCTTTGTCTGGGACTGTAGGTCAGGATGGACTTTTGTGATTTTAATCGATTTGGTGCTTTTCGAAAGTTATCATGATTCAATTAGCCTTGTTTATTTACAGCACAGTGGGATGACCTCTCGAAATGAAACCATGCTTACAACCATAGTGGTAGGCTGGTATAAACAGGCCCTGCACTGTACATGGTGGTTTTTGTAGCTCAAGATACATCATAGATTTATCGTAATTCTAACCGTCTCCTGTGTTCTTCTCTGTTTTTGTTGTCATACAGGTCACTGCAAAGAGGAAGCTCCTTCACCTTCCTCACCCCAGGGCCACAGTGGGACTTCAGTCTGGCAAGTGCAGACCTCGTATTTTTCTAGTTTGCATTGCATATTAGGCCACATAGAAAGCACAAACATACAGTTTGGCTAGTTCATCACTAATTTTAAAGGGTGGGTTGGAAATAGAAAAAACACTTAAAAGGTGGTCCACTCATAAAGTGCCAACAGCAAGAAAATTAGCCACTCATTTTTGTTTAACATGTAACACACATTGCATGCATAAAATATACAGTTTGCATCCTTGGTTCCTGTCCATGCATGTCTCCAAGGTGTCTCCTGGCTGACTTCTGTCCTATCGAGCAAACCGAAGCACTTCTCATCATAATAGTGTGTTTTTTGGCTTTGAAACTCATCTCAAGAGTTTTCTTGTAAATGGTAGTGTTATTTATTGTCACCATGATGAAAGGTTGTTTCTTGTTGGCCCACAGCCACATTAACTCAGAGAAGCCATCCAGACTGGAGGACAAATGTCTTCTTTACTTATACTTGCGATGAAGACAGATCCACAAGCACCAACTGTCAGATGAGCTGATGAAAATATACAGTACATGCACAAGGCGGAGCATACAAAGAAAGGTCCTGAATTGCTTGTTTATACTTATACTTGCGATGAAGACAGATCCACAAGCACCAACTGTCAGATGAGCTGATGAAAATATACAGTACATGCACAAGGCGGAGCATACAAAGAAAGGTCCTGAAAACCTATTTTTTCCATTTAGATTGTGGAAGATGTGATTCTACAAGAAAGAGCACACTGATTGTAGCAAAATTAAAACAATTCTAATCACTTTATGTGAGAGAATTTTCTATTTGTGTATTGTTTTTGGGACTTTGGTTTTTGGTTTATTGTTCAGGGGTTGTTTTTGTTTTTGTCGGACCACATCAACCCCATTGTTTTCCTTCAACCGCTTGTTTTCTGTAATAAAGACTCTTTTGTACTAGCACTATGGGTTTGCACCCTGAGTCCTCATTCTCTCTTTCTCTCACCTCCTGGTGAGAGACACCAACTGTAACAGTTTGCAGGAAATAGCTGGGAAATGGTTAATTTAATAATCTGGTTTACATATGGTCTTATAATTAAAGGTGAAAGAAAGTACTTTTGTTTTTGTTTGTGGATATGCCTCTGGGTAAATTAAATGATACAGTATGTGCATGAGTGTATGAAACGAAAAGAAAAAAGAAACAGAAAAGTAGAAATATGTCTCGGCCGATCTCCAAATGTCAAGCTTTTCTCTCTCGCTCATTAGCAAAGGTCAGTTTATGAAGCATTCAGGCAGTAGTTTGTTGAATGACAAACATAGGAAGTGACAAGTTATATCTGTTGCCACTTAAAGGTAATTCTGTGTCATTTTGTCAGAGCCTACTGTGGTACTGGTGCTGGTTGTGGTGAATACAGTCCCTCACAGAAATAAATGGGGAGGTCTGTGTTTTTCACACCTTGTGAAACTCAGTCTGAGTGCAGCTGTATTCACGACAAATGGCAGCGGTTGCTGGCCTAGACGTTTGAGCATGTATATGTTAGTGTTAGGTATTTTTAGTCAGATAGATATTGGATAGATACTTTATGTATTAGAAATGTTTAGTGGAGAGAGGATGTCTAGTTAGACTGTTAAATGCTTAGTCATGCTTATGAGTTTCTGCAGAGTACATCTGGTCAAGGATAACTAGAGAGAAGAGTTGATGACTGTCAGCAGACAGGGTGTTTAATATTATTATTATGACATGTATAACTGTAGACTTAGCCATAATGTTCTTATGTTTAAGACACGACATGTACTAGAGGTGGTGAGACTGTTTTTAGCTACACACCACTTAACCAACAGACATACACATTCACACGTTGATTTGCTTCATGTTTTGACTACTGCTATGGCCAGCTGCAAAGCTGGTAACAGAGACATCTTGGTTGACGTTTCTGTGTAGTATGGGGCTAGCCCAACCAAGGGGATATAATGTATAGGCCTGGGGGGTTCAGGGGCTTTCATCTTACATCTGCCTGCGAGCAGTTTGGAGGTGCAAGATACTTGAGCGTGTAATGTTAATTTTACCTGTGATCCTTTGAATTAATCAGCACTGTTTTGAAGTTACTTGGACTGCCTCGTCTCTCAGAGTCAGTATGGTAAAAAGTACCGGGTCCAACATTAGGATGTTGAGTGGAAACAAGCCCTGGCCTCTATACTTGACCTTCACAGAAATCACCAGTCTTGAGCTTTGTACCTTGGTTATAGAGTGTTTTCAGTGGTGTGAAATGTATAAAATTTGTTCTACATTCTTTAGCCTCAGCATCTCCTGGCATTGACATATCACTATCTAATACCTTACTCAGGGACTGTGATGACTGTTAATGTGACTCCGTCATGGCTGAACCAAGTAGCCAAAGACCAAATGCTGGATAAAGGAAATCCAGTCTTCTCCAATGAGGAACATGTTGGCCTACAAAGTACTGCTGTCTCTAATAGACCAGCCTGCTTATGGTCTTCAGTCAGCCTCAAATGAGATGAGTTGATTAAAAACAGAAAAGAGCAAACAGATTAGATTGCAAGCAGCATTACGAGCCTGTCGGTATTCCAGGGTTTAGAGCAGCTTACAACACAATCCATTGTTCATCTGGAGGCAAAGGAGAAGAAATAAGAGCAATGACTCTTTATCTTATGCCAACCTGCTGCTTTTGATTTGTAAGCATGGCATGCTTAGCTCATCCACCAGAGCCATGTGGACCTCATTAGGTCACCATTTATTTACTCCCCCTCATCCCAGTGTTGTCTGTCATTTATAACCCTACCAAATAGCACATTTAAAAAAAAATCCTTCTCATTGCCACTCTTATCTCAGCTCAGCCACATTAAGCTTGAAGGTTCTGAATAATGTTTAGTCAGGTCTTTGAGCTTTGAAGTGGCTAGGGAGTGTTTTTTTCACTTCTGGATAGAGTAAGGCCAGGTATAGTTGGGGGTGCCTTGGCCCCAAGGCAAACCTTGGAAGCAGGTGTGATGAGTATTCCCCAGGCACATGGTGCATCCGTTCAGACTACAACAGGCACGTGGCCTCAAAGGGGCTTTCTGTAATGGCAAGAATGTGAATCAGATTTCCAGCTCAATGCCAAGGTGGAGCAGATCAAACCAGACTGCCTTTTGGTGGAATGTGAAGGTAATTAACAAGAGTGAGAGTCAGATTGTGAGCCGTCTGTCTCTTCAAGCAACAAGTCCAGGCGGACAGAGATGTCAGCCTCAAGAGTGGCCTGGCTGATAAGTAGCATTCCAGCTGCAATCAGACACTGTGATTTAATGTGGTTGTCAGCTGGTGAGTCGTGTTCTGGCTTTTCATGCAACATAATAATTATGGCAGGAAGGTTTTGCCCATATCAACAGAAATTCATATTCAAACTGTGACAGATTTCTTTAATCACTGTCTGAAGATTCATCAGACTTATATCACTTAACCCTTAACACATAATGCATTCAAAATGCTGCTCTTCAGTGATTCTCATCCATTTTAATGAGAGAACCCAGTACCAATGCATCAGCTCTCCACAGATACATCCCACGTTGCTGTTTCATTGCAGTTGTTGTGTATCTTGGATTTGTGCCTCTTAATAGTTGATAACACATGTCAAGTAAAATTAAATTTTTGCCTGTTTTTACTCTCTTTCTGTGATGTTTTACAGACTTTTGGTGGAGGATCAGAAATGTATGTTGTAATGCTGTAGTCAGTGAACATATCTATTCAGTTTTAATCTTCTTTGAAAAGAGACCCGAGATCCACATTATAAGTCAAGCTGAATTTTCAGTTCTCTTCACTGAAACTGCTGCTATTTTACATATTTATCCATCTTTCAAAAGAAGATATAATTATTTTTGAATATATTTGTTGAAATGTTATCTTAGTCTCCAGTGCAAAGTTGACTGGACAAAAATCTGCATTTGTAGAAGATACTCTCTCAACCTCTATGGTGTCCTGGTGACTGGAGAAACTGTATTTTACAAGCACTGGTACAAAGTATATGTCTTCCTTTTACCTCAAGTTCACAATGCATTAGCTGCACCATTAGCAGTTTTAGTTGTCTGTCACTTCACACAGTAGCTAGCATTTTGTCAAATTATTTGCTTTCTTGTGGAGAATTAGATTGGAAGATGAACATCACTCTGTCTTTGTGTTAAATGTCTACAGCCAAAAACCTGTTAGCTTAGTTTAGCTTAACATAAAGACTAGAAACAGGGAAACAACTAACCTGGTTCTAACTCAACAAACACCTGCCTTGTGCAATGAAGAGACAGAAGCAACAGTCTAGTTCCCCCAGACGCTAGGAACACTAGTACAAGTAGACCTAGAAGACTGAAAAGCAACTAAATATTGATATGATTTAGGTGTTTTCTGTTTACTGCACTTTATACAAAGTTAAATGATAAATACATGCTCACATTTAATGATTAAAAGACTTGGACAGAACAATGAATATTAATTTTACAGTAACATATAGTACAAAACATAGTTTCAGTCCCATGACCATAGGATAGCTGTAGCTCCACACTTCCCCTGGGTACCAACAAATGGTTTTAATGTCAATTATAGTTGACTGGGATGTAGCAGAACAATGATGAGTGTCAGAGAGGTAGGGGCTTCTCCACCCAGCTTTATGCTGTACCTCCACTGCTGTGTTTCATATTTACAGTACCTTATTGTCACTCTCGTTCACCCTCCATCTCTTCCAGTCCGCACAGTAAATATTTTAGCTTCCTTCTCATGCAACTGAAAAAGTAAAACATTTCTTGGCTAGTGAGATTCCCATTTACTCCAGGCCTTGGTCAAAATGAGCAGGTTGTCAGATTGCAGAATGTATTTATTTCTCATTGTACAGTACTGTTCAAAATAATAGCAGTACAATGAGACTAACCAGAATAATCCAGGTTTTTAGTATATTTTTTATTGCTACATGGCAAACAAGTTACCAGTAGGTGCAGTAGATTCTCAGAAAGCAAACAAGACCCAGCATTCATGATATGCACGCTCTTAAGGCTGTGCAATTGGGCAATTAGTTGAAAGGGGTGTGTTCAAAAAAATAGCAGTGTGGCATTCAATCAGTGAGGTCATCAATTTTGTGAAATAACAGGTGTGAATCAGGTGGCCCCTATTTAAGGATGAAGCCAGCACTTGTTGAACATGCATTTGAAAGCCTGAGGAAAATGGGTCGTTCAAGACATTGTTCAGAAGAACAGCGTACTTTGATTAAAAAGTTGATTGGTTTATGGGTTTTCCCCTATAAAGAGGTGCAAAAAATTATAGGCTGTTCAGCTAAAATGATCTCCAATGCCTAAAAATGGAGAGCAAAACCAGAGAGACGTGGAAGAAAACGGAAGACAACCATCAAAATGGATCGAAGAATAACCAGAATGGCAAAGGCCCAGCCAATGATCAGCTCCAGGATGATCAAAGACAGTCTGGAGTTACCTGTAAGTACTGTGACAGTTAGAAGACGTCTGTGTGAAGCTAATCTATTTTCAAGAATCCCCCGCAAAGTCCCTCTGTTAAAAAAAAGGCACGTGCAG